GAACTGGCTATTCCTCTGGCTCATATTTCTAATATCTCCACGATGTTAGGCGAAATGTATATGGAAACACGCAATAGAAACACCTCTTTCTAAAGCCAATGAGGCAGGTCATATGTCCTGTTTTCGACCCACAAGCATTCTTCCGTCTCCGCTCAAAATCACGGAAAAGATTCTACATTGTTACTTGTTGGACTGGGTAGTGAAACAGCAAGGTTTTCCTCAGGAACAGTTCGTCTCCCTATCTGGAACGTCCACCTCCATTCAATTGATGGATGCAAGCACACATGGATAGAGGCCCTCAATCTAGGCAAAATAGTCGATGTTATCTACTCCGATCTAACAAAAGCCTCCGATACTGTATGCAGGGACAGCCTCTTACCCAAGCTAAAACGAATGGGGGCCTGTGTAAATGCTTTGCACTGATTCGTTTCTTATCTTGCTCAATGAAAAATGAATGTACGCTTTTCTAAACAATCTCCAAAGTGAGAAGCTGTCCACCAGGAGTACCCCATGGAGGAACCCTTTCGCCTCTCTTATTCCTAATATACACAAACGACCTTCCAAAGTTCGTTAAACACGATTACAGATTAAACGTTGCAAATTACGCTGATGACATAAAGGTCGCAGTTGCGTATGAGGAGAAGGGCTGCGATATGGCTCAGACTGTATTAAATCGTGCTGTCGAGAACATGCCTCGGTGGTATAATTTTTGGGAATAAAAGGTCAATTCTGTGAAGATCCACTTGTTTTCTTTGGGACCCTCCACGCTGGAGGCGCGCTTCTCTGATAGTTCAGTTATTGAGCGGTCAGCAACAGTTAAGGATTTAGGTGTCAGTCTTACTAAATATTTAAGGTGGTCCCATCATATCGAACTGATATCAAGGCCCTGAAGGCATTGCCTACGTTGTTCAGAAATATCCACGGTTCTGATGTGGATTCATGGATTGAGCTCTATAGAACATGAATTCATCCACTAGTTGAATATTGCAGTCTGGAGCCCGTCCATGGTCAAAGATATTCAAAAGCTTGAAAATGCTCAAAAAACTTTTACAAGAAATTTGTTTTATAGAACTTTTCCTAATAATGACTACCCACGAGTTTTACCGTCTTACCAATCCAGACTCAAGGAACTGAATCTCGGAACTTCGTCGTAGGTATGCCGGGGTTAATCGAGAGTCGGACATGGGTTATTCACAATCTCGAAAGTTTGTTACAGGCACATCCAGTCAGATTTGGTCCTGGCTTCTGAGATATACGGGGGCGAGCTTCCAAATACTGGATGTTTCAACCAACCAATGGACGATGAGGAGCATTCCAAATTTACAACCACAAAATGGGCAAATGGCATCAAAATCTAGAAGGAAACTGTTCTATTGTCTCTCAAGTCTCCACTCGAAGTAGCTGGAGTCACTCCCATCTCATTTTTTGACAGCTGGGAGTTCAAGGCGTTTCACAAACTCAATCAAAAAAGTCAGTATCTTGAAATTTTTATCCCTTGCCGATGTATCATAATGTCATTATTTCCTTTGACAAGCCGGCCTAGCCGCCCAAGCGGATCGTTCAGTCCAGTCTTGAGATCGGAACAAGGCTATGACTCTCATGTTTGGCTTTCTTTAGACCTGGGCATCTGTATTATTATTCGTCAATGCTTCTGTGCCATACAGGTTTTTTAATTGTGGAATACCTTTATTCGCCTGACGTTTCGACAATCTCGTC